CTGCGTCTGCCTGCAACGGCTCCCGGCCGTTGAGCGAGACGACGTCCGGGTCGACCCGGAACGAGGCGATCGAGGCGGCGGCCCCTCCAGGGAACTGGTCGGAGATGAGGGCGCGGGCCCCGCGATACTCGAACATGAAGAGCATGAGGGTGTACCAGACGACGCTCTGCATGACGACGATCTGGACCATGAGGTTGGCCGAGAAGTCGCCGTACATGGCTCGGAGCAAAGGGATCCCCATGACGAGGGTGTTGGGGAGGGTCGAGAGGGAGAAGAGGGTGATGGTCCAGTCGAGGGACCCGTTTTTCGAGAGGGAGTGCCAGAGGAGGAGAGCCGAGAGGATGACGACTTTCTGGAGGGAATCGGCGGCTATGAAGTGGTAGTTCATGGCGTAGATGTCGTTGGTGGAGATGAAGTGGAAGCCGAGGAGTGGGACGGCGAAGACGGCCACGAAACGGTTGATGCCGGAGCATTGGTCGGGGGTAAAGATCTTCCACCAACGAACCGAGCCGTACGCGAGGATCATGGCCACGTAGAGTGGGGTTATGGCCGCCAAAACGTCGTATATGTCCTTTCCGGTTATCATTTCTTTTGTTTCGGTTGGATTTTGCGATCAGCAAAATGGAGTAACAGAATGGAGTAGCGGATAGAAAGAAGTAAAGTTTTTGTGGGATGGGATGAGAGGGAAGAAGATGAATAAGATAATGGGAGTAAGGTGTGTGTAAGTTGTGGTCACATGTAAGAGGTTTAAAATATGGTTTTGATGATGCTAATTTTGATGTATGATGATTGGGGATCTTTTGGGGCTGATCTCTTCTTGTCTTGGATATACAGTCTTGTGAAGACGAAGTATCAAGGAATCATCGTGTCTTAGTGTCTATATATTAATTAATTATGAATTCGTGATTCAAAACAGTGTTTGAAATATACTATACCGATCTAGACTATCGGGATGTGTATTATATAAATTCAGCTGATGAACTTCGGTAGTATTAACGGAATAACAAATTAATATTAAATAAGCTCAGTTTCTCTTTTTTTTATTTGCTGATTAACTTCTCAATAAAATAAAAATAAGCCTTTCAAGTTCAAGTTTTATTTTTTGAAGTCAATAATTAACTTTTTAATAAGATGAGACTAGAATTTCAAATTTTTACCTTTAAGTTAGTGATTAACTTCTCTTTTATCTAATATATATTTATTTCTTTACTGACAGGTATTTTCTTTGGTTTATTTTTAGTATTTTGATCGTTATTTACGGTACAATTTAGATAAAATTCAATGTTTTGTATGCGTGTTCTTTAATATCTCATCCAATAATATTGTTGATTTGTTTTCCTCATAATTTCATCGGGGATAAATCGACGTTCTTCAAATATTAACTATTATAGGACAAATGGACAATAAAATTATTGTATAGGTAACATCACATAATATATATAAAATAAAGTCTGAAGTTTGAACTCCTTTACATGTGAGTCAAATTTTGCATCTACCGAACGGCATCCTGTTCATACATCCTGCTTTAAAAAGAGGAGTTCTTGTATATGACAAATGAGAAGTAAACAATATTACTTTTAAATAAAATGAAGCGTTTAATTAGCTTGGACATAGTCACTTTTTTGGTAAATTAAACCAACTCACTTCACCGGATTTTTACCGTTATAAGTATGTCTGTATGTGTCGATTCAATAGTAAAAATTCAATCAGAACAATAAGATTGAATTTACGGTATTATTCTGGAAACGAAATTGTACACAATCCCAAAATTGTATTGTTTTGCCGTGATAGTAATGTTAGGCAGGTTAAACATTTAATTTTTTTTCAAATTATATACCTAGTTTCATATCAAATATCATGTTCTAAAATACAGCATAATAATTCCCTTTTTGTAAATAGTTGAATTTGATGATGAAAAATATAGCCGTGGCATTAAACTTTGACATAGAATCTTCACTTTTGACTAATTGATTCTCGTTAATTACAGTTATTCTGTTTTCCGATTTTCTAGTATAACTGATGGTACCATTTTAGGTACATGTCACTCTATCATTCATAGTTTTTCGTAAATTGTGGTGAAAAGAATACTCTCAGTGACGTATAATCAAATTTATCAAGAATGACAACCTGTAACTTGATATGTTACAAGTCCAACAAATTTTATTCTTCTCCATACATTACTTTTAAAAATCTAAGTACGACTTTTTTTTTTTTAATCCAAATTGTTTAACCTATTAGAATTAGGTCGAATCCACCAGAACTAACCCGTTTTAGGGAAACAATAAAAATTAAAGTAGTGTAGGGTAAAGTTATTCTTTTAATGACGTAACAAATAACAAAAAATGCAATTAGTTTTTCTCCGGTGAAAAATATTTCCGGTCCGGCGGTCCCATAGTCTTTAGGCCTAATCGCGACTGCCCCACACAAATTCACTTGGCATAGAGTTCCACATGATTTTATAAACTCAATTACGTGGACAAATACTGATAAAAAAATTATAAGTCATAGGTATAAATATTATTTTAAAATTATAAGTTAGATAATGGATATATCGCATTTTATAAATTTAATCATTAGTAAAACTAAACAATGTAACTATAAAATATTTTACTTATATATGATTGCTATATAGATTGCAAAAAAAATAATTAATAATGTAAATTTTATAAATTTACGGTATCATTACCAATAAATTGATTGAAAAAAAAATATTAAAATTTTTAATTATAACAATTCTTTACGGGATTTTAAGAGATTTGCTATATCATTAAAAAAGTCACTTGATAAGATAAAAATAAGAAAATAATATTAATTTTTAAATAAATACATTGAAAAGGAAAAATTAATAAAGCATGACATGGAAATCAATTTCCCCAAATAAGTACAAATGAGCAGTTGAAATATACCTCATCAAAGTATTTCAGCTGCATGGCAATTGGCATTATGTGTTTCAAATCCCCAGTTTCCTGGCTCACATGCCAAAAATCTTAATGGCGACTTCAAAAGTTCCTCGAATTGAACATATCACAGGCCCACAAAAATAAAATTACATAAAATAAGTGGAATTAAAAGTGTTTTGAGAGGTAAAAGTTGAAATGTATATATATATATATATTAATTGCTAGGAAAGCAATTAATAAAACTCAGAATTAAAAGTAATTTGAGAGGTAAAAGTTGAAAACTATATATATATAATTGCTAGTAAAGCAATTAATAAACTTCTTTTTGTGTTCCCTTCATTTTTCGTTACTTTTGCACTAATCAAATAATTATATTTTTTATTTATTTTATTATATAATTGTTACTATTAATTAATCATAAAGTCGCATTAAATGTCACTCTTTTCTAAAGATTTTTCAAACTATTTGTTTAATATTATTTTTTTTCAACTCATTAAGCAAGTTTTTTTTATTAAAATTAGTTAATTATTTTTTTTGGCATAATCAAACCATTTAAAATTTCGTACACAATTACTATAATGATAAAATTTTAATATTATTATATTCAATTAATTCGTTATAATCAATCAAAACTGCATCAGTATAAATATTAGTACATGAGTTAAATAGTTTATATTTATATCGTTACTAATGATAAAATATAAAATGTGATATATTCATTATCTAACTTATGATTTTAAATATTACATAAACACACATCTAACCTAAAATTTTATTTGCAAGTATGGTTGAAGACTTCAAATCAGGAAAAATAATTAATTCTTCTGTTATGATTAAAATATAAAGACTTCATAAGCTTTAAGTTATCCAGCTTGTCTTATTAGATTTTTATATCCCAAACGCAAATTGTAAAAATTCCAAATAAAATAAAATAAAATAGCGGTAGTATTGCAAAGAGATGATTCAATTATTAATAATAATAATAATACAATGAATTTATCTTTTTTACCACTTCATTATTTAAGGCACAAATAAAATTCGCTAGTCAAATCAATAAATACAATCAATTTATCCACACTTATGTAACAAGTTGTTAATAAAGATTGTTAGTCAAATCAGTTAATACAATCACTAATTCGTTATTTGTTGTACAATTAGTTATCTAATAATAAAATTAGCTATTTTCTATAAGCAAACAGTCAAACACGAATGCGACTGTATTTTTGTCTGTGAGTATTATTTTTCACCAAAAAATTAAGGGTGCTTGATTGTGAAGTTTTATGCGAGTATTATTCTTCAACAAAACATTACATATATATCCGTCAACGTATAATCACAGAACTAAAGTGAACGATTTTGATCCAGGAAACAAATTAACTCCATAAAAATATGAAAGTACTACTTATTGTATTTAAGAGAGTCAAACGGTCTGGTAAGGAAAAAACGCAATTTGAACAAAACCGAGCCATCAACAAAAATTAGCTAGGTCTCTTATTTGACTACCGTGGCTCTATATTGCAAACTACTAATGAACTAATGTCTGAATTACTTGAAAAATCAAGCCCAACACTAAATTACTTGAAAAATGTCTGAAAAATGTAACTAAAATTAACAACAAAATTAGAATTTATTAAGCATGTACAGTTTCATTCTTGTAATTTCTTTTTTTTTTAAATAAAACCCAAATTAAAATTTACGCTGGAAATAACTTTATATCTAAAAATACATATATGGAAGATTCGACCTCTTTCATCATTGAATTAACACATATACATATAAAATTATACTGTTGACTGATACACGTATAAATTTACACAAATCCAAAGATTAAAAATTAGGTAAAATGTACCCAATCCCTTCAACCTCACAAATAAAACTTCAAATTCCTACAATTATTGGCCATAGAAAATTAGGCAGACAGGGGCACTGTTTGTGCCCTTAGGCTCACGACTGCCAATGATCCGACCTAATAATTATTTCATAATGCATATTTTTCCCAAACTCTATTCTAGCCCCAATTAATTTCAACATAACTATATATCTTATTTCATTCTATATTTTGTATAATATTAAAAGAATAATAAACGGTTGCCAAATTGACCACTATCCATGTTGATAAATTATATTCAAGAAAATAAACTTAGATGAACGATCTTCTACAAATAAAGCCTGAATTCTCTCTTCTTTTTTTTTTTAATTAATTAATTTAGTGTATGATGTATATGCAACATAGTGTTTGTTACATAAAAGTAATTTAATACACATATTTATAACGAAGATAATTATATTAATGAAAAAAAGGAAAAAAAAAAAAAGAAACTATGTATTGATGTTAGAGGTTACAAGTTATATTATACTAATAATTAAAAACATTTTGACTAACTTTTTATACTCTATATAACTCTTCAGGCCAATTTTCTTTTGTTTTTAATAATGTATTAAAAACACTCACATAATTTAATAATAATTAAAAATAAAATCTTTATTAATCTCTCTAAAATTAAACATCAAATCAAATACACATCATTTACTTTTGGTTTCCTCCTAGGAGTCATACTCCTAACGCATGCCATTATTATTGCCTTGTTTTTCTTTGACATTCATAATTAATCACTCAATTACAATAAATACCAAAATTAAAAATGTGACTAGTACGTAGCCGTGCGATGCACGGTATAAAAATATTAAATGAGTCTCTATAGAGATTGTCCGTTAAGTAGCTCGTGCGATTTACGTGAGATATTAAATGAGTGGACCATTGGGCTTGTCCGTTTAGGCCTAAAAAATAATAGAGTTTGATCATCTATTTTTTACCTCTTTTCATCAATGTTATTTTTTTTGTCGGGACATTAAACCTATCTTTTACCTCTGTTCGTCAACGTCATTTTGTTTGTCAAGACGTTAAACCTGAGCCTAGTAGCGCTAGCTCGTAAATTAATTAATATATTATCCCGCTCACACGTTTATAATAATATAAATTTGATTTCAGTATTTATTTTTATTCGTTGATATAAGAAAAATAACAATATTACTTAATTTTGTTTCTCGTATACTAAATTATTATTTTATTATAAAATTTATCCTAATATAATGTCATTATTGTAATTAAAATATTTAATGTATGTTAATATTATTTGTTAATGTAATAAATTTAAATTATGTAAATAAATTTAAAGTAAAACATTTTGTACAAACATTTTATAAAATATAACATTTTTTTTTTAGAATTTAATCTTTTTTATAATAATTAAACATATTTGAAATTCTATGCAATTATTAATCATCCTTGAGATAAATTCAAATTCTACTTGAATTCTAGGAAATTATTAATTCCGTCCGATTTTATGGGAAACAAATCATCCGAGAATGTAACAAAATGATAAGGAATTTTAATATTTAAATTCCAAATTTTACATGAGAAATAATTTTACTTGAATTTTATGAAATTATTACTCTGTCCGATTTTATGGCAAACAATTCATTCGAGATTTTAATGTAACAAAATGATAAGAAATTTTAATATTTAATTTTAAATTTGAAATGAGACATGTTTTTACTTGACGTCTATTTGTCTGATTTTATTGCAAAACACATCAATTAAGGATGGAAATTAATGCAGACCGATTTTTTAGTAAATAGAATGACTTTTTATATAAGTATAGATTAATTTTCACTTATACCCAAATACACTCTCACTCTTCACACAATATATAAATCCCTTAATAACTAGACCTTCCTAATTATATATACAACTCATATCAAGGAACTCTCATCATATTATATCTTCCCATGGATGAAAACAAAGGAGAAATTCGTCTCGGACTCGATTTGGGTCTCGGTTTGAACGATTACAATCCAAATAGAAGAGAAAACCGTACTCCGCAAAACAAGAAGCGCACATTGTTTCTCGATCTGTCTATTCCACTCTACACTGGCGATCAGAGTGCGAGTCGCGAGTCGAGCTCGAGCCTTAAGATCACGGGAAAAGACACGATAAGACAAGGGATTGTCGAGAGAATTAACGGGTTTTGTGGCAAAGAGGATGATGAGAGCAAAACTCCCATGGATTTTGAGGGCAGGAAAAAACTGAGGCTTACTAGAGACCAAACAACATTGCTTGAAGACAGTTTCAAACAACAGACTACCCTTAATACGGTCTCTCTCGATAATTTTTTATAATCTTCTTAGACAGTCATATTTTTTCAATGTTATAAAGTATGCATTTTTGTTATCAAATACCGCCTGATCACCCAATAATTTATGGATTTATTTGGGTTTTTGACATTTATATATAACATGTTATTTTTATTTTTTTTTTCAATTCTAGTCATTAAAGACTTCTTGCCTCAGNCAGGCACTTGCAGAGAAACTGAGTCTGAAACCAAGACAAGTTGAAGTTTGGTTTCAAAACAGGAGAGCAAGGTGCATAGCTAACTCCAATTATTATTATTATTAGTTGCGATTTTCTTAATATAATTTATATTTAATTTGTTCATATCGCATATTAACTTGAAAACATAACATGAAATGAAGGAACAATAACATCAACACAAATTCTTGTGTGAGCCAACTAACCGTTAAACGAGTCGACAAATAATTTTTTTTACAAAAATATATACTTATGCTATGAAATGTTTTATTTCTTTTTATATATATAATTGTTATAGTATCATGATCATTTTGAATGTATGGTACAAAAATGCAAAACTTATTATACGAAATGTCATAATTTTATTTGTATTAATTATTGGAGTACGATATATCATTCTGAAAATATGATATCTGTCAAAATAGTATGCATGATTGTCTAACCATTAGTTTGCCTACAAATTGCAATCGCATTGACATACCCATTTTTTTGTTATTTTGTTTTTGCCTTTTTTCTTAATTGTGACACCATGAATGTTAATACATAACATAACCATGAAATAATGTTAACTAATTTCTCATAATTTATGCTTCTAATTAATGCAGGACAAAATTGAAGCAAATCGAGTTGGACTGCGATTTCTTGAAGAGAAACTGTGAAAGATTAAGTGAAGAAAACTGGAGATTGAAGAAGGAACTTTTTGATCTCCGATTGTCGCTAAAGATAGAGAAAACGCCTCCGCCGCCGCCAGTCCTCCACCACATTCCCAAGGCGGCGCGTGAGAAAAACGTGAAAAATAGGGACGGTGGTGAAAAGAAGGAACCGGCCATTAAGGTGGTCCAAAACAACCCTAAAACTAATTGATACAGCGAAAAAAACGGCTTGAATAGCCAATTATAGCTTGGGTGGGCAAATTAAATTTTAATTTCTTCCAAATTAATTGTATATTGTGATAATGATTAAAACACACACGCTTGAAAAATGGTAATAATAATAATAAAAAAAAGAGCAAATTAGAGGAAGGGACTAAATAATTTAATTATAAATTGTTTGAATTGGTGGGCTAAAAAGTATCTAGGCTTTGATTGAGACTATTATTATTGGAGGCTTAAAATGATGCCATATATTATATATAACGTGATCTTTGTTTTACTAAGTCGTGCTCTTCACTCTGTGGAAAGTATTTTATTAATTTTCATTTTCATTTTCATTTTGGCCCAAATATTACCATAGGAATTTTTTTATTTTTTTATTTTTTTAATTCCATCGCGCTGAATCAATTGCAACCAGTGTACTCAATTGAGATATGTTACGATTCTTCGACTGAGTGAATAGCTAGTGATGATTGATAGTTGAGCTTATATATATAGGTGATTTATAAATTTTTATATGCTAATTTAATTGATTGGAATGATTAAATAACTGTTAACATTATCATAGTACTTCTGAATAGAAAGAAAAGGAATATANTTAATTAAGACAAAAATCATTACATTTTATGTTAATTGAGTAATAATTTTATGTTTTTATTATATCATGTATATAATAGTTATTATTAGAGTAATTATATTTTTACCCTAAATGATATATGAAAGTTATATAAACATAAAAGAATTATATTTTTATTCAAATTATTTATTTTAAAATCAATATTATATTTTTTTTATCTAGTTAAGTGATTATTTTTTAAATAAATTAATTTATTTTAATGTCATATTAAAATCCCTTAAAATCGCATAATCAATTGTTATATTAAAGTTAATATGTTTCAGCAAATTAATTGGTCGTGATCTTTCAAAATTATAAATATTACATTATTTATTATATTTTATGCAATTAATATAGTGATTCATATGCAATCAAATGGCCACGTACTATTTATTTAATCAATGATCAAATTTTAAAATATAATACCATTAATTTAACTTATAAGTTTAATATTATATGCATAAATATAACTTATAATACTCTATGTATAAAATTTAATACCATTATCTAACTTAAAATTTTAATATTATATACATATAAATAACTTGTAATACTATATTTATATATGTGCAAATGCAAAGGATTACTAGATCTTCAAAAAATGAGTTGTCTCTTTATGATGTATACTTATAAATGAATAACAAAAAAAGACTTTTTAATTACGAATAGCGAAAACAATTTCATGAATGATACAAAATATAATTTGAAGCAATATATATATATATATAGTGTGATTGATCTCAACTATATAAATGTGTTTATATTTTTGAACCTATATATTCCGAGCTTCAAGTTAGAACACTAAATTAATGAGCAATTCAGAATTCATCCAAACTTAATATCTCAAACCCATTTTTTGAAATCATAATATATATACTTAAGTTAATCTGACCTACATGATTGTGATTAATACACGAATTTCGGTTACTTCTGTGATTTAATGAAGAAATTTTTTCGTTGAAAACTCATGCATTAACTATTGAAATGCTGCAGTCCGCATCAAATTACAACATTTTGATAGTTTTACATCAGAAAGTAAATTTATGATTAACCGTAATATTTAATAGCTGTAACAAAAGTTGTTGAAAAAAATATATATATGTACATGTAGAAAATCTTTGGAGTAGTGTCAGTGTGTAGAAGTGGCTAAGTGGAGTTTAATTATAATTAATTTACAGCCACGAGCTTCATTAATTAGTAGCTAACTAGCTTTTAATTGAGCTTAATATGTTATATCCCCCACAAATCATGACTACCTATGCTAAATAAAGGTATTATTCTTTTTATCCACCTTGTAGCAAGATACATATTGTAAAACTATAAAAGCTCTTTATTTCATTATTCAATAGTAGCGAAAAACTGGAAACAAATAAAAAAAATTGTATATTTCACATATAATTCTGTTTACATAATGCTATGCTTGAAAATAAAGTGTCCATATGTGGAGATGTTATTTCTACACTTGTGGTTGAAAATTAAAATGTTATTACTTTTATATCAATCAACTGGTAAATCAAGCATAAGTACACAAGCATATATGTGGCAATTAGATCATATGCAATAATTCCATATTCTTTTTAGACCAATATATTTTGTTTTTTTACCGAAATTCCGATTGGATACCAAAGAAAAGTTCAAAAAATATATCATTCTTTAATTTTTTCTCTTTAGTTCAATCATCATAAATCAAAAATAAAATTCAATTATTATTATAAATTTTCCTTTCACATATTTTTAAATTATCAACTATTATTTATTATTTTATTATTTTTAATCAATTCCATATCATATTTTTACCTTATACAAATTCAAAAATTAATAAAAATTTAATTTTATTTAAAAACTTTTTTTTTTTACTTTTAGATATCTACTATTACGATGAGATATCATTTTCCCAAAAAATTCTATAACAAGAAAACTTGGCTTTTTTTAGTGTGTGTTAGACAAACATTCCTAAATTACCTCTAAATTTATGTCAACTATTTGCATCAGTGAATTATTAGTTACCCCTTGAACACAACTCATAGGTACTTAATTAATTAACTTACAATAAGAAGACTTTGAAAATCATTTTTCAATCTTTCTATCTTAATTATGTTATGATCTGCGATTAATTTCTGAGGCCACGCCTATTGTTATGCTAAACTAGCTAGTGATATTCCACATGCAAGACCATAATTTTCTTTAAGTAGTTAATTGCTAAGAACTATAAATA